TAGAACAAATCCTGATAAAAATTCAGAATAGGCACGATCTTTGGTCAAAACAAGGCACTTTCACAGTAACGTACCGATGGCATGGCGGGGCCGAACCAAGTCATGCATGAATGGTCAACATGCGCTAACATGAGGTACCTGCTAGGAAAACATGTTTCACAAGATCAGCGGGCATAAGATCAGCATGTTATTAAGCAACATACGAAATCATAAGCAAGCATAGCACAGCAAAGCATCCTTCCAGGTTGTTGTTTCAAAGACAGCAATGTGATTGTTTTCTAACACTTTATCCGGCTAGTTCAGGGTCCGATGACGCTTCGTCGGTTGTCCAAACCATATGTGTGAAAGAACTTCTTCCAGAAGGAATCAAACGTGCTGTGCACGTCACGTAACTCTCCTCTTGGGTTGTGATTTTGCTCCAACCGTTGGTTTTTGGGTGTTAGGAATTTTCAAGTTTAGTACATATATTTCATGCAACTTTCGACGACATCACTCAAATCCTGCCTTTCCATAAGCCATGCGGCGAACAAGGGCAAACAATAGAAGTACTGAGTCGTTCATATCTGGCGTTCGTGAGCACGACATCCAGATATAAAGGCTGTCAATTGGATGTCAATCAATGCTGTGCGATGTACGACGACCAATCCGACAATTACGCATTGTAGAGCATATTCAATAAACAGAGGAATTACGCTGTTTAGAGCAGTCTTTTATACTTGATGCGGTCTTTATACTTTGCGACGCTGATGGATATAGGCAGCGGTGTACATTTTATTAATTGGAACGGTTGAACCGAGGGCTCGACAGCCTAATCGGACTCCCCGATTTTTCTCACCGGATTTAGCCCACTTTATTCTGATTCAACTCGATGTACGCTTTAATCTTTGTATAATTTATAGAAGTCTTTAATTTAGGCCGTAGAGAAGTAATGCCGGGTTGCATCCAGGGAGCAGACACTGGACGCACGCTTTTCTTCTCATCGGCACGTGAAGGCGTCCCTTTAGAGGCCATCTTGATGCGCCGATGGTGCTCTTCTTTGGCGGTCATGGGACGCGGCATGCATTTGTTAGCCATGAAGGACTTAGGCCATCCCCATATTCCAGAGCTTTTCACTTGAACCTCGCAAACCATTGCGTGTCTTATGGCGCTAGGTATGTGAAGTTCACTGCACTGTTCATCCGCTCAGCTGTGACGATTTGCATCTTGTGGTGAGAGCAACCACAACTTTTTGTTGTATGAGGGTGGTGCGAGACACCACTACGCAGAAAGATCAAAGGGGATAGTCTTTGAGTTACCCTCATTTTTTACCCACGTTTTTTAAAGTATTTCCGCCAAAAAATTGGGGGCAAGCCAACATCGGGGGCCCAACTCAACATTGCGTGAGGGGGACGGGACCCCCACTTTACAAATGCAACATATCTAATGCCTGTCTCAATATCATCAAATGTGGAGCATTCCCTTCAAAGAGAATGTCATATGTGCATGAGGTATTGAGCTCAAATGGCTATCATGAAGATTGTTTGGTGCGGTTCACGGCGCTGCCCATCTTACGACAAGAAGCCTCCATGTTTCTTAGCTACATGCCCGCAAATATGTGCATAGTTTTCGGAGACTATCTCAAGGCTGCTCACGCATCCCTAACGTAGTCATAACGTCATTCAAGTGCTGTCATTCCATTGTTCAAACGGCGATCAAGGCCAAGAAAGAAATGATTGTCTAGTGGTTCATGTCAGGCTTTCGTGAGCACGATTTCCAGGCATAACAACCGTTCATTTACTTTCAAGCAGTGTTGTGCAAGGGACGATGACGCAATCAATCAATGTGTTGTTGAGCAGCATTTCACAAAACAGAGAAATTGTGCTGTCTTTAGGAGTCTTTTTCACTTAGAAGCGTATCAGCAGGTCTAAGTTTAGCGTTCACCGCAGAGAAACCCCGGCACAGCGCACCAAGAAAGGGAAAAACAAGCTCACTGTAGCTTTTTATAACATGTTTTACCCGAGCAAAATTACTTCCGTTGGACGGGTTACTTTCCGCTCCAAACACCGACGCTCGCCTTAGACTTTGTTTTCACTATCAGACAAATTGAAATGCACATTTTCTACGAGCAAAACAGAGTGCAGATATTCGGGAAAATATGGAGGAATATCCCCCTTCGCCGCCCCCCCCCCCGTGAGCGCCACAGACCCCCCCCCCCTTAGCCCGTCCCCATGAACCAACCCCACAGAAGCCGCGGTGCGGAGTGTCCCGCGACAAAAAAACCGCTCCCCACGTCCCACATCCAGCTCGTCCTGGGATGGAACGTTTGCCACCATCGCGCATGCGCAATACTCGGCTGTGACACCTGGGATGGCGTAGTTATTCTGGCACATACACAAATTCCACTGCAGGGCAAAAATGTGCAGCAAAGCTATTTAGCCCAGAAGCTTTACCCCGCACTCCCAGAACCTACTGCTGTACACACAGGATTGGTGCACAAAATAATTACGCATGTCGAGCACAGAAGTGACATGGGTGACCTGGCTACTGTATACAATGGATGCTGTAGATACTGTAGACACAAGTGACCTGGATATTGTACGCACATAAGTTAGGCCGGATCGGAAAGCAAAGCGGCTAGGGCTTCCTAAAATTAAGAACGCGAGTAAATTTTGAACAACACTTTTCGGCTCCCCGCGACATACGGGCACCTCCAGAGGAATGGGATGCCAGCCAAACAAGGAACGCGAAAAGGATAGATTCCCCTAGAAATTAACTTCGCAGAAATCAAATCCTTGACATAAATGTTACCCCAGGACCACTCCAGATGGAGGTGAAATGTTATAAGCTCCAGTTGGTTGGACATGTTTCGATGTTGCGTTGCGTCATAACATTATTCAAAAGTGATCAAAGGTTGTTTTATATACGAAACCACGAGTTCACGGCTCCAACGATCAACGTCAGCTCTCCGTCCACCAGCTCTGTCAGCCGGCATGGCCATCTTGGCTCGTTGACGAATCCCCATCAGTTAATCTGAAAAGGCTCTCTTGGCAGTGCAGAACGAAGTTCGAATCAGATGTCTCAATGTTTAAAGGCATGACGCATTTTGCGTGATGGTTTCAATCGTCCAACTACAGACGACTTAATTTTGGACAGAAGTCGTACAAATGAATGTACAATTTTATATGCACGCTGTGTACTCTGGTCCATTGCCACACAGTGACTGTAAAACAAGGGTAAGCTATCAACAAACCGCATAAACACGGGACACAGCTAAAACGTAATTGCAAAACATTATTCCGTGATGTCAAGCTGGCAGATATAATGCACAGAATGTGAGTCGACCGCCATGCCTGCTGCGCACAAGGAGGTTAATGTCGCATTATGAAAGAACGTTACACAAACGGGAATGTGCTATCAGGGACGTTACAGACCTTCGCTATTATATCCTTCCGCGGTTACTAGCGTGCTGTCAAAGCCACAATGCGCTATTTGTTCATGCTTTCTAAAGGGACGCATGCTAATTTATTGTGAATTGGGAACATGTCCGTCAGTTTCGAAAAGGCTAAGGAGCCTACAAAACATTGGCCATGATCTTAAAGGGAGTGATCCACTTTCATGCAATTTTAACTGAAATAGCCATCTTGAAGATCATTCGGTACAGTCCACAGTTCTGCTCTTTACACGCGCCCCGGTGGCTGGTTGGATGCCCTTCGCTCGGGTGGGGGTCTATTTGACCCCGCTGAGATATCAGAAACTAAGGGAGCTAGTACCAAATTCGCACGTGTGTTGGCCTGTACGTGGACTCACTTAGGGCAGAGTGTCAAGTTCCTAGGTCATGATCTCTGGGTCAAAAAGTTCAAACAATTTTGCTGGTGACCGACCCTTCTATATATCTGACGCTTCATTTCATTTCGGCACCTTAAACAATTCAAATCAGAGCATAAAACACGAGCATGAAACTAACAATAACTTTCAACACCGGCCATCACTCACTGCCGTTTTGACCTATCGACAGCAAACAATTCTCTAGCTGTGCAGAAGACATCAGCACCACACACTGTGAAGAACACAATCAGCACAGCAAATCACAACACTGCATGCCAATCACCCAATACCCGCCAGTCATCAGTGTCTTGTTCCTTGTCTAAGTGGCTTATTTGTGAAAGTCGTTTGTGGTTATGAATGAGTAATGCATTCAGGACGTTGAGTTTTACTGTCTTGTGTGTTTGATGATAAAATTTCAGTGTTCTGTGTGAGCGCTTGACGCACGAGGAAAGTATTGTGGTCGGGCTGTACGGCTGTCGGGCTGACTCCTCGGTGCCCTCTCCTTGAGGTGCTCTGTAAGACGTCGGAACAAAACTGTTATAGCTACACACCACTGTAGGATACGGCGCCTTGCAGCCTCAACGGACAGCGGTCAACAGGCGGGTGGAAATAACAACGTATCGTAATCGGTACTTTCCAACGCTTTATGAAGTAAATGGGTATGGGTGTAAAACGTGTCCCAGGCCGGATGTTTCACTAGTCCAATTTCTAGATTGATAGTCGGGACGGGTTACGGGAAGGCGCAGTGGCGTAATCTCTCTTGCTCGTAATGCTACAGCTGCTGAATCCGTTCAGAGAATGAAATGGTCAGCTAATTAAACCGCATTGGTAACACATTCTGGTCAGCAGCCGAAGGGCATTACGTCCCACCCTGGGGTCCCCAGCGACTTAAAAACTGGTGATGGCCCCCAGGACCGTAAGGTCACCCTCAGAAGGATGCATCACAACCGGTCTTCTCCTCGATGCGGCTGGCCCTCTAACTGAGACATCCAGCAACGGATCGGCGCAGAGACCCTCGCTGACGCAAACAGACCTTCAATTGCACAGAAGTCCAATAA